AAATTTGTGATGTAATTTATTTCATTTTTGGTTAGACAATTGTATTTACTAACCATTTTAGTAAGTTCTCTAAAGATAAGTTTATCTGATTCAAGATTTACTTTTTCATTATTGTTTAAAGAGAGTAGATGGTCTTGATAAACTAGTTTGTTGTTATAATAAGATAAGTCCATTACAATTAAAGTATTACCTTTGTCTGCCTTTTTGATAACTATATCTTTCATTTCTTTTAGTTGTTTTAAGGCTATCCTTTTTTGTTGAGTAATGTTATCCACTGATTGTACTTTGATTGGTTTAATTTGCTCAATTTTTGAAATGGTTTCTTCTATAAATGGTTGAGTTGTTCTAATAATATAGTTTGACTTTTTTAATTATGCTAATTATGCTTATATCAGTATTATGTGTTCCGTGAAATCTTTCTTTTAGTTTTCTTGTGAACTCTTTTATATCAGTGTCGATGTGTAAAAAATTTCCTTTGGTTGTCGGACAAAACTTAGGACCCTTTATAAGAAGGGATATTTGAAATGATGTCAGGTGTTTGGTAGAAAGGTTGATGGCCTTAGGTTGTATTTTTTTTGAATTGGGCTTATACAGTTTTTTGAAGCTATCAAATTTGATGTTTGTTTATGGTCAGCATCAATATTAGTTGATCCAATAGAAGTTCAGCAGTTGTTAATATCATCTTGACGGTGTTTTATGTAACTTTTTGAATTTAGATTATTTCTATATTTTTCAAACGCAATTTTAGTGGATGCGTATTTTTTTGTCCATTTTTTGGAAATACGATCAATATCTTCATTTTTACATTCCTCATATTGAAACATTAATTTATCTTTAGGCTCTTCATTTAGTGCATGGTTAATTATAAAATTCGTCGCTTCTTCTAGGTTTTGTTATGAAGAAAGAAAATTATCTTTTCTTATTTTAAAAATTTCGCATTCTGATTTGAGGCGCTGTAAATCAAATTTTTTTATTGCATTTTCTTCTTCTTGTGACATAGAATAGAAGTTGTCACTTCTAAATTTTTTAGGAATAAACAAAGGTTCTTGTTGCAAACAGTCATGATAAATGTTCAGAAGATTTGTACATCTGCTGTGTTTGTAGTAAAGATATTCATGTTTTTCTAAAGATTTAATAAAATACCTTTAATGCTGATTTTTAAACTTTCTGTATTCTTTTTCTAAATTGTAATTTAAGTTAGTTTTATGTTACTGGTATATTTAATAAATTGAAAAACACTTTACATTTAATTATAGATAATTTAAAACCTTTTATTAGAGAAGTTATAGAATCAACCATCCAAGTATCATTACAGTTAAAGTATAAAACATGATGACATACCTTTTAAAATGAAAATATAAATAAAAAATTATAAAAAATGGAAATAATTTTTTCATTTAAATCCCCCTCAAACACCCTGAACACACCCTATTTTTCCTTTTTTGAAGAACAATTTCTGAACAACTTTAGTCTTGAGGGGGACTTAAAAGTCATCCAATTGACCTAAAAAAAAATTTAAACAAAGTTTTAGCATATTTGCGCCAACTTTAGCTAGGTATGTACTTCGTTTTCAAAAATTCCCTCAAAATGACTACCCCTAAATACCTTTTCCGATTTGAGATTGATCAATATAAAGTGAAATAATCACAAAATAGATCAATAAATAAATAAATAAAAGGTTCGATGAAAAAAAAATAACTTTTTTACAGTACTTAAAGTTTCATGCCATTTGCGGCACTTATCAGCCACATATTTAAATCAAGAAAAAACTGTTCAAAAGTACAATTAAAAAACCGTTACAAAATTCAAAAAAAACAATGGAATGAGTTCTGATGTCAAATAATAATAATAATAATAATACCCATAGTAATAATAATAATAACAATAATAATAGTAATATGGAAAAACATCTTTTTTAATCGCCAGTGTCAAATTGGGTAAGAAGGAATCTGTTACTATATCTGCACTTAGAAACAATCTCACTCCTTTTATTCAAAAGGTTATTATTTTTATAATTTAGAATTTCATATTTTTCAGTGAGACGTAATTTACAAGGTTTGGATGTTGGGTTATATGCTTTACATTGCCTAAGAAGTTTTTACTTAACTATAGGAACTAAATTATGTCTTTTAACTTCCATATGTGTTTGAAGAGCTCAGTATCATTTTTGTATTTAGAAATGTTAAATGAAAGATGAGATGTTAAAAATTTACGTGATTGAAATGAAAGATGAGATGTTAAAATTTTCCGTGATTAGCGTATCTTAATTTAAAAGGAGTCTCACTTATATCTATGTAGGATTTTTCATTAGGAGACGAATCATAATTAGCAATGGTTACAGTTGCTTGATATACAATATTTGCTTGTTAAACAATTATTGAACAACGGACAGAGCTTTTTATTTAAGCAGTTACAATTTTCTTGATTACAGTTTGTATTGTTGCATAAAATGTATTTGTTGTACAAATTTTTAATAGATTTTACACTTGGCATACAAATGTAGCTAACTTTGACTGTGTTCCTGTTAAAGATTTTATGCAGTTTCTTATTATTAGAAAATTTTTGTCAATTAGTTTCAAAAAACATTTTCCCACATTGGTGCTAATATTTTTGCTAAATAGAGGGTTAAACCAAATGATGTTGCAGACTCTGTTCTGTTTTGGAGTTGATATTGCTTTAGGATTATATGTTAGACTACATTTATAATCAGACTTTAATAAAGTTTTATTATATAGAGAAATCGTATTTTGAAATATTTCTTTGTAAGAAGAGTTTGTAGACAATTTAAGTTTAACCGAATGTGGTATTTTTTTTAGTACACTTGGCGGGTGATTTGAATCAGCATGGATGTATTAATGTATTATCAGGTTTGAAATAAGGTTTAAAAGTGCAGTCACTAAGATTTAGAGTAATGTCGAGGGAGTTGACAATTTTCATTATATATAGGCAGGACAGGATTCAATAAATGGACAGTCTGATTGTTTTCAAAATTATCTTAAGGTGATAAAACAATTGGAAGCTGTATTAATTTCAATTTTGTTGAAAACTTCATAATTTTTCAAAAGACATTTACCTTCTAAATTTACTTTTTTTATTATGTCTGAGTTAGATAATTTGTAGCTTGAAGTGATGGCATTTCTTAACAAGTGGTTATAATCATTTTTAGATAAATTGTAAAGATTGGATGTTTTATTAGCAAATTATCTAACTCAAAGTTGTGCGTGTTAATGTATTTGTGTGTATGAAGTTTACAATTACTAAATTAAAGAAAAGTCTTTTTTAAGTCGGTTAACATTTTCCTTTTTTTTTTTTTTCTTTTCTTTTTTAAATCTGGAGTTAAGTGAAAAAAATAAATAAAAGTAAATCAAGCTTTAGTGTGAATGTAAAGTAACTCTCAATTTACTTTTACTTTATGCAATAAGTATATAAATATTTAAAAGAATATATATGTTTATCTAAAGCTTTAGGTAATTTTGATCCTGAACGAGGACTTCGTCTTGCAAAAAATCTTTTAAATTTCACAAAGGAAATAGATGAAAAAGAATTACCACACAAAACAGAAGTTATAGCTAATGCTCATTCGTGCATCGGGAATGCATTAATTGACCTTGATGAACTTCCAAAAGCTCTCAAGCATCACCAAAGAGATCTTCAAATTTCTAAAATAAGGTAAAAGGTTTAAATTTATTAGGTACAAGTTGATTTTTATCACATAAAATTTATTATATGAATACTTTTTTTGAAAAAAATATCTTTTTAATTGAAACTTTTAATATTTTGCTCAAAAATTTTTTGCTAGATATGTATATGTATAAACATCATATTAAGGGTTTAAGGGTATAATCTGTGAAGTCACATTTTTTTAGTTTTTAAGGCTCCCATATATGGTACTGAAGATGTGTTTTAGTTTTTTAAGATCACATGTGGCTTACTCTTTACTTTTAATTATGTTTCCAATGTCAAAATTGGTGGAGCCATGAATTTTTACTTGGTATACTAACTTATAACCTGAGTTTTAATCCTTTTTTTTTATTCATTTCATAAAATAGTAAAATGTGACTTCACAGGTATTCCCTATCAAATTATAAACGCTTTAACTTTTATAATTTGTTAGAGTAGGTTGATGCAGGAGGAACTGGAATCCTTCATATTTTGTCAGGGTAAGGGGGCAGGAGAAGTTTACATATAACAACAAGAAAGAAAAACTTTAACTTTATTATGACCAACCTTTTTACAACTTTAATTTTAAACATGGCAGAGGCAAAGGAGCTTTCCAATCATACCCAAATATAATTATATATTTATACATGTATTGCTCTCCCCAAACAGCCCATAAAACCAAGGTATTACTTATCTTACCTTATTGGAAGCCTAAATTTATTATTATTTTTTTAATTGTCTACAAAGAATAAAATGGAAATTGATATTAAAAAATCAAAATCATAGTCTTTTATGGAAATCTATTGTTAGTTCTTGTCTCTTTTTTTTATCATTCTTGTTAGTTCTTGTCTCTTTTTTTTTATCATTCTTAGGGTTTGTTATTTGTTTTATTTTATAATATTTGTTTTAACAAAACAAGTTGAGGTTATTAAGCTTTTGCTCAAAGAAAACAGAGAAGTTGCATACTTTTAGATTTATTATTGTTTTAGAATTTTTATTAATATTATTTTTTTAAAGTTTTAGTATCATTTATATTTGATCTAATGTTAGTTGGTATTTTTTCTTACATTTTTAATGGATAATGAAAATAAAATGCTATGCGGTACGGAAATTTAAGAATTAAAGTTTTATTTACATTTATGTGAAAATGAAAATGTTTGCAAAGAAAAAAATTTTTACATCTTGAGTTAATTGTGCAGTTGATGTTATATCAATTAAAACAGATGATGATGTGGAACATGGGATATTTAGTGACTACAAAAAACTTTTTATAAATGGTGTTGAGTACCTAACCCTTTCAATTTCAATGCTGGTTAGCAGAAATTTAGTTGTTGTTTCTTTTTCTATATCTTGATATTTATTTTTGTTTTACTAATCTATGTAATGCGTAATATAGGCTTTAATATTGTATGTAGTAGTGTATGTATATATTTTTTTATTTAAATTTGCCTTTATTTTTCTTTTTTTTATTTTTCTGCGAAAATTGTTTTCTGTCACTCTATCCTTCTGAACTTATGTGATAAAATTTTTGTTTTCTCTTACATATTTTCTCACTAATCTTATCTCATCCGTTCATTTTCTCCTTCTTTTTTTTTCATTTTTCGTAGCGTTACTCCTTTATATTTTTGTTCTAATTCCAACTATTTCAATATTATTGTTCCTTATACTTCTTTTTTTATTACTTTTATTAATGTAGTTTACTTTCTTTATTATTTCCTTGTTTTAATATTTTTTTATATTATTTATTTATTCTATCAAGGTGTCACTCCATTGACTAGTTTTTAGCTATATAAGTGACAACGAACCTAAATTTGTAAATTATAACTAAATTTGTAGTTTTTAATTCTATGGTTAAATAAATGGATAAAAAAAGAACTGGAAAACCATAGCTCAAAACCAAAAAGTCAAGTATTTTACCTAGAGCCAGAGCTAGACTTATCAGAGAACATTTTAGAAAAGTCAAAGCTGAAGCCATGAAAATTCTGTTAGCTCTAATAAATGGAGCCATGTAAATTCTCATAAATTCTGTTAGACTAACTTCTTTATCCTAAATTCTAATTATTTTTTACTTCTTTAAAGAAAAAATCAAGTGAGATACTGTGTTTTTAAAGGAAACAGTAATTTCAATGAATGAATTGCATGAGTTTTGGAAAATCAATCAAGATACTGTATTAAATTCAGTATTTAATACAGTATTAAGTTATCTACAATATTAATGCCTAAGCAAATGCTTGTATCTGCCTAATCTGACATAGAGCTTTTAGTTGAGAGCTTTTAATTGTATTGAATTTAATAAGGAATTTGATTGTATTAAATTATTATTGTATTTAAAGTAATAATTTTTTTAATAAACTCTTTTGTATTCTTTTTGCTGTTTCCTTATCAAATTGTTATATACACTGCACTGTTGTTGTTCTAAACTTTTGATTACAATAAAACGGGCTGTTATTTTTTATATTTTTTTGTTAAATATTGTATTAAACATATGTTTTCAAACATTTTTCTGATACATTTTTTATTATTTAATTTTATAAATATTTTCCTTAAATTTTAAGTTAAATAAACTTAACTTGAGATTTAAGGTATTCATAAAAAAGCTGTTTTTATCATCTTAAAAAAGCTGTGTTGACTAAATCTTGTGTTTTAAATGCATATAACACTCTGCTTCAAGCTTGCTTGCTATTCAATTTCGTGCTTTGCAGTTTCATAGTGTAATAAAGTCAAGCCTGCTTTATAAATGGTTTCTTTATTATTTTTTATTTTATTGATACCTATTTAGTTAGTTTAAACATTCATATTCTACAAGTTATAACCATGTTATTAAAATGATTGATTCTAAATATATTTATCTATAAAAAAAATATAGTAAGTTTTTAGTTTTGTAAACTATGGTTTATGATGTCAGAAAAAATTTTTTTTATTTATATGAAGAGATAAAGTATTTTTCTGTTTAAGCTCTGTGAAGACAAGTGTTTTCCTGAAAGATGTATTTGATTAGTTCATTGCAACTTTAATAATTGGGAAACAGCAATCAAATAGCTTAGTTACTTAGGCTAGGACAACATTTATTTTTATAGGTTAGCTTGAGGGATAGCATATAAAAAAATGTCTTTTTCAACTAATTTATATTTTTCTTTTTAGGCTATAAAATATGGTTATATAGTTTTTCTTAGGAACCCTAATATCTATTTAACAGGAATTTTTGTAAATAATTTCAGCAAAAATTAAATGGATGACAAGACCAAAGCAGCAGTATTTAAATATTCTTTTAAAAATGAGGATAAAATATAATAATAAAAATGGTGATGCCATCTGTATTTTTAAAAGCACAAAAAAATTTTAAAGTTTAGAAAAGAGACATATTGATACATAGAAATTTGTGAAAGATGAAGACAACAATAAAGTTAATCCAGTTTGAATTAAACCATTCAATTACAGATTTTCAACAACATAGTTTCTAATAAAAAGATGTTACAGATTCAAAAAATAGATCAGTGCAAAGTAGAGAATAAACTTTCCTAGACAATGATATACTACTAGCTGCAATGTATGTTAATTCAATGTATCATATTATGCTGAGTGAGAACCACTTGCATAGAGCAAAAACAGCATCATGTGGTATACCCATTCCAAAGCAACAAAGACTAATGACATTAGATAAGAAAGAATAACCATTCATTGTAAATCAACCCTTGTCAAACTCAACATCTGAAGATGAGTAAGACTTTGAGAAGTATCTTAATATTCAAACAAAGCACTGTCACATTGAAAGTTCACAAAGCTGAAATGAAATACTGTCCCTGATTTCTAATTTTAAATTACACTTCATTAATGCTTTGAGTGAAATGGAAAAAATTTATTGCTCATAAAAGTAAACTGTAATGGATACCACATTATCCAATAATAGTTATAAATCTAGCTTATACAGTAACTGCATTACCATCAACTATTTAACTAACATGTGGAACAATTATTTTTAGCTTTTTAAATTGTTCTGTCAGACCTTAAAGCATCAATGAAACAGGATACTTTCATAGAATCTCACGTACTATTTAATTTTTAGTTCACTTAGCTTTTTGAAGTTAGTCATACAATTTTTTGTTGTCTTTTTGTTATAACTTTTTTTATACTAAATAAAAAAATACAAACAGTGGGAATGACATTTTTTTATAAAAATTTGGTATAAAAGTTTGCATCTTGCATGCAAATTTTAAAAGTTTAAATGTTTGGAGCTGTTTATTCATCATCTTTCTATTAAAATTGTACAATTAAACAATAATAGAAGATTGTAAAATAGATAAAGAAGAGAGTATATTACTGTAAACATGAAGAAAAAAACATGAAGAAAAAAAAACAAGTATTCTTTTGTATAATTTTTGGAAGTAAGTTGTAACAGATTCAAAAGCTCATGATGCATGTTCTAAATAAAAAGTTAAAACTGATTAAAATTGGTTGCTACACATGAGTATTTCAACGTGTTTTCTTTTTATTTCTGCAAATCTTGATATACCTGGATTCTATGGAAGATATGGAAATTCAAAAGAGTAACGCAACTAATTAGTTTTTTTTAAAGTTATGAAATCTTTTTATCAACGTTTTCCCAAACTTTATATAGATTATTACCAGAAGTTAACATAGCTTGCCTTAAAATAGCTTTTTTAAGGCAACAGCCCTGAATTATCTAGTGTTGTGTTGCCCACCAGCTTGTTTATTAATAAAATCTCTACTTTCATACAATACCACAAGATTTTAATATATTACTTAATCATGTTTAAAAAAATATAAGTAAAAAGTTTTTGTTTTTTTAATAAAAAATACTAAGGTGAATACTAATAATTTTATGGTATGGACAGCTCATGGTTATATTAATAATAAAATTGTATTGATGGTTTGTTAACTATGAAAGTTGATTTTTTAAGTATAACATCAATCATTATTAAAAAAATGTCTTTGTAAAATTTCTATTAGTCAATTGTAAAAATAAAAATTTGTGGTTTAAACCATAATTT